GTCATCTCTTCTTCTGAGTCTCAAATAAATTTGCTTAGAGAAAAATTATAAATCTGGGAAAAAATACTATACTTTCTTAAACAAATTAAATTCAGGGGAAAGCAAATATAAAATCAGCCCACAATGGATCTTAATTTTTCCATTAAAATATAAACGGCTGATTTAGCATGTGGTCCCATTAATTATTAAAGAGTCTTAAATAATATCCTTAATATCAGGATATCCTTGTTTCAAGCCATCATAGCCGTTACATGGTACGAATACTATTTACGTAGGCAGGTTACGCAATAAAGAATGCTGACGTCATTTAGTTTACTTTCTAATATCAAGACTTAAAACTACAAAATCTATAGGCTGTATTTATTTTTTACATGTATAATTCACATGCCTGGCACATAAATGTTAGCTATTAATACTATTACTACCTCAAATGATAACAGTTTAAGTGCTACGATTTCTAAGAGTTGTAACAGTACTATTTGAGTTATCCAACATTTCACTTCTCTCAAAATATTAAAAGATAAATATACGCATGAGATGTAACTAACTGGGGGAGGATTAAAAAAGCATACTATAACATACAACAGAAGTCTCTTATCAATGTGATAGAGGCCGGTAATAGTTGCTTAATTGAAAAAGTCAATACAAACCAGGAAAAAATAAAAACCTTTTGCGAACGAATTAAGTCCTTACTTTTACTTAAATAATATATATTCATTTATCAATCTTTTGATATAGAATCAAGACCTATAAAAATTTCCAGTTTGACTTCTATAAAATGGTACAAGAATTGAAAGCTCTTACAAAGAGTTACGGATTGAATTATGAACCCCAAAAATATCTGTTGTAAATCCTAAACCCTATACTTATGGATATAATCCCACTTGGGAATAGGGTTTTCTTTATAATGTTAATGAGGCCATATCAGTGTAGGGTGTGTCTTAATCTAATTACCCTTGAGATATAAACCAAGCTGATTAGGAACAGAGAAGGAAGCAGAGATAGAGGAAGACAGATGCCACCACTACATGAATACCACCAAGGAGCCAAAGAACAGGACCTGAAGAGACAAGGACCTTCCCCCAGAGCCGAGAGACAGAAAAAGCTTTCCCCTAGATCCAGTATCCTGATTTTGGAGTTCTAGCCTCCTAAACAGTGAGAAAAGAAATTTCTGCTCATTAAAGCCACCCACTTGTAGTATTTCTGTTATAGCATAACTAAGACAGAATTTGTTACTGGGACTAGGGCACTGCTCTACCAAATACCTAAAATGTGCAAACGGTTTTAGAATTGGGTAATGGATAGAGGCTGAAAGAGTTTTAAGGTTCCTAATGGTGAAAGCCTAGACCGCCTAGAAGAGACTGTTGGTAGAATTATGGACGTCAAAGACGTCCTCTGGTGAAGACTCAGAAGGAAGTTAGGAGAGCTATAGAGAAAACCTCTGTCATTTTAGAAAATATATACAGTACCAGCAACAGAATGTTGCTAGACACGTGGATGTTAAAAGTGCTTCTGGTGAGGCTTTAAAAGAAAATGACGAACGTGATTGGACAACGCAGGAAGGGTGACATATTTTATGCAGTCGCAAAGAACTTATCTGAATTACGTCCAAATATTTGGTGGAAGGTAGAAAATTGTAAGTATGAACTTGGATATCTGGATGATGAGATCTCTATGCAAGATCTCAAAGGGGCAGCGTGGTTTCTCCTTGCTGCTTATAGTAAAATGCAAAAGGAAAGAGATGGACTTAAAAATGAACTACGCAAAATGAAAACAAAACTTAAAGATTCAGAAAATTCTGTTGTACAAACTCAGGGCAGGTATTCTAGAATTTTCACCAAGGACGTGGTTACACAATATTTTGTTAAAGAGATTAAGCCTGTGACTGATGGATCTAATGCAACTACCACAGGAGAAAACCCACCAGCTTAGACTGAAGGGGACTGAGACAGGATGAAAGAAAGAAAAGCTGTCTGCCTCCTGGAATTCTACAGGCAGGAAACAGGCCAAAGGAGCTACATCTGTTGTCTTCCAAGAAAAGAAAAGGACCATCTCTGGAGTAGCAAAAGAGATCAGCAGAACTGTTGGAAGGAACATGGGAAGCAGGGCTGACTCTGTTTCAAAGGCTGGAGCCAAAGTCTCCTGGGTTTCAAAGGGTGAAGCAGAAATGGGGGAAGACAGATGCCATGCCACATGAAGATCACCAAGGAGTCAAGGAATAGAAGCTGAAAAGAGACAGCGACCTTCCCCTAGAGCGGGGAGAGAGAGATCCTTCCCTAGAGAGAGACAGTACCCTGAACTTGGACTTCTAGACTCCTAAACTGTGAGAAAATAAATTTAAGTTCATTAAAACCACCCACTTGTGGTATTTCTGTTATGTTTTTGTTGTTAGGTGCCATCAAGTTGGTTCCAACCCATAGCGACAGAGTAGAACTGCCCTACCAAGGAGTAGCTGGTGGATTGGACCTGCCAACCTTTTAAGAGCCAAGCTCTTAACCACTACGCCACCAGGCTCCATTTCTGTTACAGAAGTATTAGATAACTAAGACACAGAGCAATCTGCATACAGAAACCTAGACTGTGATAACTTTTTTTTCGATCTTTCATAGTTATCTCACCCATTCCCAATTCGAGTCTTTTTTTAGCAACTCAGTTTATCCTGCCTTTCTAAAGCATTCAACCTAGTTTTCATAGAAATGACACCTTTTATTTTCACACTCACATTTTACTGGTTTAACAAGCATTTAATCAGATTACACAATTACTATAACAAATATAGCTGGAATAAATAGCCTTGGTAACAAACACAACGGACTCTTGGTAAACAGTTCAGCTGGTAGGTGCAGAGTGTACAGATACAGCAGAGGACAAGCAATTAAACAGCTGAAAGCATTCAGCATTATAGGCATCAGGCAATGTGTTTTAGAGCAGGAACAGACAGTATTGGTTAATGAACTGAGTCTGAGATGAGAAGAGGGCTTCTCATGTACATTCATATAAATGTTGGTCATTCTATATGCCACTTTAAAAGGTTGTCACTGTGTCAAACAATCTGGAAATCCCTCTTTCGGAATTTCTGAATCCACCCAGCATTTTAAGATGTTCAATGCTATGTCATCATCCTTAGGTCCGGATTTAATTTCCAAAACTAACTTTAATTTATTAAGTGACATGTCTGGTATGAAATGTGACCAGCAAAGTCCAGCAATACCATTTGAATAAAAACAAGGTATTACTATAAAGTAGAGTAACTGTTCAATATGAATAACATATTTCTTTAAAGGTAAGCCTAAAAGATAAAGTTTCAAAAACATGCTGAAGAATTATGACATAAATAGAAAAAATACAAAGAGACCTTCCCAAGGATAGCCATCATTTCAACATCAATTTCTAGCATTTTTATTTCAAAAATGACTACACATAATCTTGTGTTAATCACATCACATATACCCATACATATATGTATACATATATATGTGTATATGTGTGTGTACAACTAGAATGCTCCTTAGAAGGATGGAGAGACTACATCTTACATACTTTGGACATGTTGTCAGAAGGGATCAGTCCCTGGAGAAGGACATCATGCTTGGTAAAGTAAAGGGTCAGCGAAAAAGAGGAAGACCCTCAATGAGATGGACTGACACAGTAGCTGCAACAATGGGCTCAAGCATAACAACGACTGTGAGCACGCACAGGACCAGGCAGTGTTTCGTTCTGTGGTACGTAGGGTCGCTATGAGTCAGAACTGACTCAATGGCACCTAACAACAACAACAACGTGTGTGCATACATTGTATACAAACACATACACATACACAGACATATATATATAATAGATACAAATCAATTACTTATATACATGTATAGTTTAGCTTCCTGCAATGCTGTAATATTGGAGCCTGATTACTGAGGAAAGTTTATGTGAAGCTGGGAAATTTGAACCTTATTCAGTAATAAAAATGAGTCACTAAAAGTTTTTGCTTAAGGAAGTGACATAATGTAGTGTTCTGGAGAGATCTGTTTAATAGGCAAGAACTAGAGGTGTGGAAAATGGAAGGAGAAAGATCATTTAGGAGACTATCAATATAAACCAGGTGTATGATGATAATGTTTTGAATTAAAGACCTCAAATGGCAATAAAAAGAAAATTGTATGAAATAATACATGCAAAAAGCACTATACAAATACTAGTTTTCATTACTGTGAAAGAATTCATAAGATGTAAATTAGATGACAACAATCCAAATGCAGTATAGAGATGGGCATCACAAAATCTTCAGGCAAGAACACTACATTCTTCTGCCTTGCCCTACAGATCCAAAGCAAAGATGGGGCTCTTCCAAGTTTCCGGTGAATTGGGGAAAGCTCTGGGTATCAATCCAGATAAGTTCAGCCCAAAGAGCACTTTGTAGATTTAATTAAGACCCATTATTAGGTATTATTCATCCATATCAATTCTGAGCTGGACATGAAATGAGAGATGTTTTGCTCTTTCTTCTCAAAATTAAATGAGGGTGCGGGTGTGTGTATGAGAGAGAGGGAGAGAAGAGAACACACATGTTCTGTGCCAACAGATGGGGGAGAAATTACTTTCTCCTTTATAAAGCAACATTTTCTCTTCATTAGAGTCTGTGATCAAATAAGTTCTGCTTTTGGAGAAAAAGAGTAACTAGAGATTGCTAATTAAACAACAGTTGTTTAACTAAGAGTGCTCTGCTTTTGTAACTGAGTTAGCAATAAGAACATCAAGTAAAGCCTGAAAAGTTAAGATTAGCTTCTAGTTCTATTCTTCTATTCAACTTCTATATCCTAATCTTAGCCTCTACCCAAACCAAACACAATAAACCTCTTCAAATTCTGTCTCTTCCTGAATTCACCTGCAATTTTTTAAAAAAAACAAAGGCTAACATTTCCAAATTCCATTACAGAAAAACTATTTAGAAAAAATGTATTTCTGAATCTTCCACAATTTATCCTAAAAACACTAGGACAATTTACCTCAAATTTCTTCACCTTTTCCATTGTTATCAACCGCCTTGATGTGTGACTGGAAAGCTTCTGTTCACAGTTGCTAATGAGCTGCAGACAAGGGTGCCAGGGTACCATCTCTTCAGTGTATCTGACGAAAGAACGGTTGACTGTTATGAACACTCGTATGTGTGCCCCACACAGAATTATCATGGGGTTAGCCAGTGTGGTATGGAACATCCTCCTCCTACACACTGTACATATTTTGCATATGCTAACTGTCTACATAATGCATAAACAATCTACCTGTACTTTCAAAAAGCACAATATTTTAAAACTGGCCACATCCCAACAAAAGCAGTTTAATTTTCTCACCTGTGGAAGAGAGAGAGAATACAAGTATCTTTTACTGAAGGATGCCAAACACTTAAACTATAAAAAATACAAGATGATTCCACCTTAAAGTATCCCACAAGAGCTGATACGACAGAGAGAAATACACTCTACAACAGCCCCTTCACATTCACAAAGGACTGATTTATATGGAGATTTTTATAAATTCCCAAAGTATAAAATCCATGACAGCATATTCCTTCCCCTATAAAATACAGCCAAGTGCCCCTGCAAAATTTTAATGACATCTTGAGACCGCTAATGATTTTTCAAATACAGGACTAAAGTTATTTATAAAATGATTTAAATAAACTGCCACTGAAATAAACATCACAGATTACATCAGTACTGTGGTCACATTAGCCATGAAACACAACTGAAGCCAGGCTGGTAAGTGGTGGCGACCGCTGCTGTACAGCACATGTACTACACGGATGGAGATGATGACATCGATACTGCAGGCCAGAGTCAGGCCGCAGTCGATCAGGACCTGACTCCTGACAGGTTATTGGCATCAATCTTGGCAGCAGAAACAGGTGACAGATGTGGGAAAACAGTATTCAACTACAGAACAGAATGTGGAAGAACAGCAGGGGAGAGGGCTCACTAGATACGAATCCCTTTGTGTGTAACTTTGTGTACGCTGTGATTGTCAGTTTTTATTTGTCCTTTGCACATCTTTATACATTCTTCAATAGTCTGTGCAAGCATTTATTATATCAGTAACCTTAAAGCTCTGATCCAAAATGGGCAAGATGCTGATTAGTATTTCATGTAAAGAGCCACCATCTCAGCTAGACTATTCTAATACATCAATATTGTCTTCACCACTACTCTGTTACCAACTTTTCTAGGTCTCTCTGACCTTCAACGAGCAATCCCTCATTACCTTTACCACATGCTCAAAACCTTCATCACCCACTTACCAAGCAACATTCATAATGCACTTCACTTTATTATCAGTGGAAAGAATTCTCTTGAAGTCATTCTCAGCCTCCTTCCTTAAGGCTATCCAAGAAGTAATGACCATTTCAGATTTTACCTCATCTAATAATTCCTTAACATTCACTTCATACTAGGAAATGTTGTACTTCTTATAACACCAGCTGACATCAAATTTGGAATCTTCATACAAAGCATTTATAAGAATGAATACCTTCTACACCCTGGTTGAGAGATTAAAAAAAAAAAAAAAAGTATAACAGAGAAGGAACAGCCTTGGCCTTAAGCTTGCAAACAGCAAGGTGTGGATGCCTGAAACAGAGTTTCTCAAACTTAGTAACACACCTACTTAAAGGGGGAAAAAAAAAATTCCTTTAATTTCCTGGCTGGACTAACAAAGTATTTCTATTAAAATGTTACTTCAGTATGTACAAACATAAATTAGACATAAACTTATGTTTGTATCCCTTATACAATTATAAAACTAAAACAAACTTATAAATCAAAATCAAAAGTACAAAACCAATACAACTTGAATTAATACTTATGACTGCTTCGCCTAACAGCAGAAAAACATATTTATATGTTTTTTTATTTTTTCAACTTTATTATTTTGGTTTTAAGCATGAAGGAACATCATATGGGTTAGTAATCTATTATTTCAGTGAGCCAATCAATTTTAAAGTATAGTCCCAGAATAGCATACTAAAATATAAAAAACAGTATTTAACAAAAACTATTCTCTACATATTTACTAGTATATTTCATACCAACGGACTGTTTGCAGACTGTTAAGTAGAAGATATAAATTTGTCTGATGACAGGACTATCATGACAGTATTCTATCTCAATTCCCTGTTTTTATTCCTGTCCTCCTACAATCTCAGTGGTCTATTAAAAACCTAAATTAAGCAAATAGGCAAATCCACAGAGAGAGAAAATAGATGGCTGATTGCCAGCCAGGGGTGGGTGATTGCTAATAGGTATGGGGTTTCTTGTTAGGGTGATGAAAATGTTCTGGAATAGTGGTGATGCACAACTTTGTGAATATATTGAAAACCACTAAGTGTACATTTTAAAAGGGCAAATTTTATGGTATATAAATTATATGTCAATCTTTCTAAAGCAAAAAAAAAAAAAAAGTGTCTAGGCTCCTAGCTTTTTCATGCATCAATTTTAATTGACAGTCACTCCTTTTCCTGTGAATATCCTCATGCTTCAAGTTAACTACTTTCCAAATGTCACCACAGTTTTATTACCATTTGAGAAGGAGACTTTGCACTGATTGAAGCACTTACTGAAAACAGGTTGAGGAATCACTTTTCCCTGTTTCCTAGATAAGAGATGAAAAATGTGTTCTCTTCACTGATCAGAATCACCATAAAATTCACTTTATTACAATTAAAATTTATCCCCAAATCACACTTTGGGGCACTATATTAGGCTTCTTCACTTGGTCATCATTTTTATCACTAGCACCAGTAGGTGGACTTTTATTAAAGGTCATCTTTCACAAAGAAAATTTTTTATCACGTCACAGAGTTATTTGTGTGTGATGACAATTTGATAACAAAAGTTACGAGGATATGTGGAAGCTGGGCAAACAGCTACATTTACTCAGTACCTTAGTGACTAACTCCTAAAACATCAAACACACATGAGTTGAATTTATGCACCGTCCAAATGAATATAGCACAGTTCTCCAGGGTCATTTGCAAGTTGAAAATGTGAATAATAAGCTCACAAATATCAACAGTCTACAGTAACTCTATGTGGAAGTTTTCTATGAGTAAGAAGAACAAACAACTATGAGAACACAGATGAGGAACTGACTAATTTGCTGAGAAGGGTCTGGAAAAGTGTCACAACATTTAAGCCAGGCCTTAAAAGATAACTAGAATTTTACTAGTTGAGGAAAGGGTGTATCAAGCAATGTGGGCAGAATAAAGGTGACAAGATGTAAGTATACAGAGTATCTTGACACTGGCAAAAGGTCTGACATCCTGGAGTGGGGAAAGACTAGAGGAAGGAAAACAGCAGAAGCTTGTGGGAGCAGTTTCCTCACTGCAATTTAAATTGTCAAATAGTGAGAAAATCTTTTTCAATCACATCTCCGAAATTTTTTCACATACAACTAAGCTTTTAGGTAGTATTTTTTTTTTAATGACATCTTGTTACACTTTTCAAAATGTCCTGGGTTTAAAGAATAATACCTGAACTTGATTATAATGTGTAATTCCTGATGTTTAAACTTGTATCATGTAACAGGATTTTTCACTTCAATATTAGGACTAAAAAAAACAAGCCCACTGCAATCCAGTCTATTCCAATTCACAGTGACCCTATAGGACAGAGTAGAACTGCCCCATAGGGCTTCCAAGGCTGTAATCTTTACGGAAGCTGACTGTCACATCTTTCTCCTCGAGAGCGGCTGGTGGGTTCCAACTGCTAACCTTTTGGTTAGCAGCCAAGTGTTTAACCACTGCACCACTGGGGCTCCTTTAACATTAGGACTAAAAGCCTATATTCACTATACCAAAAAAAGTTTTAAAACTAAACAGTACTAACATACAATCTTAAATTGAATTTCTTTTTAATTCCTACCTTTTTAAAAAAGCTACATTTTCAATGTAACATAATCAAACTGAATTCTAAATTACCTACGTGAACATACATTTAATTCACAGACAAGAACATTATTTTAAACTTTTACAGACCACTTTAAGTCTTATTTTCATCTTGATAATGTGTTATTTTAAGAGTAAAGATTCTGAATGATGTATGCTGCGAAAGTGAAAACAGTTCACTCTTCTCAGATAAACTCGAGGCTAACTAGTAACTTCATTAATAAGCTAATTAATAATAATAATTAATAATTAATTAATAAGATCACCTTAGGCTGAAAGGAGGAGAAAGCACAACAGTGTTCTAATAACAAACATCACAAGAACTGGAAATAACCCTTTTCAGGGACAAATAAGTCAAAGAAATAAACATTATAGCAGTCTTCCCATGTGTGGTGGCTGCATACCTGGAACAGTACCTGCCCCTTGATAAAATATCTAAGGTAAAAAGGGAATTGATTAAAAAAAAAAAAGTCTTTCTTACTGCAAAAATGGCATGAGGCCCTCCTCTAACTTCACAAGGGGGAAGAAGAATCAAGATCAACAGCCCAAGGCTGATTCCTATGAGGTGAAGGTCAGACATACCTCCTCCCTCAGCCATCTTTACCAATTCTGACACCAATCGTCCCTCCCACAGCAATCTCTATTTCTCTGCTGGGTTCGATAATTCATTTGCAATGGCCACACAGAACTCACAGACAATACTCATGATTATGGGGTTTATTAGAGAAGTAACATTACAATTCAGGTGCAGGAATGCTCAGGATACAGTTCTTCTACCAGCATGGCCTCTTCCCAGCCGTGCTCGCAGGCACACCTCTCTCTGGCCCTCGGCCTCTGCTCTGCTCAGGCAAGTGTTACAAAGCTCTTTTAGCTCTGCCAATAAGTGCTCAGGGGCGCTCCACTCCTCCAATAAGCCTCGGCCCAAAGGCATTTAGCTTTTTCGCTCTGTGGGCCAGGAAGCCTACTACGCTGTCTCCTGCCAATCTCTCCTGCTGTCGTTTCTCTGCCACCACTTCTCACCGTCTTCCGTGTTACAGCTCTGTCTCTCAGTCTCCTGGTTCCCGGAGTTTCTCAGCACAGGGATCCCAGGTCCAAAAGACACACCGGCTTTTCTTCCCTGGTGGTGGTGGGATCCTCTCTCTGCTCTAGAATTGGCTCTCTTTTAAGGCAAAACTGACCAATTCCCTTGGTGGGCCACAGTCACCCTATCCGCACAGTCCCACTCAATCACTTTGGTGGGAGTTACAAGACCATTGCTAGAAAGGCCACACAAAAACGATCCATCACACCACACTTTTCTACTTCTAGAAATGTCCCTTTGGTTACAGGCATTTGGAAATTCCCCTAAAACAGAGAAGTCACTGAAGAAATATCCAGTGGCTACTTTTCAACTTTAGAAATACTGAAAGTAGTTAAAAGTGCCTCCAATTTTACTTGTTATAAGCATGAAGGAATAAATCAGAGAACACTAAAGGAAATTCTTAACCATATATAATATCAACTATAAATAATGAATGACACAACACTGGACAATCAGATATCTTCAGTTAAAACTTAGCCTTGCAGGCCTGCCCTTGCCATGTTCCACTCCTTTTGCTTCCCAGTGCAAGGAAGTCAGTGGTAGACCCACCATGTGGCTCTGGAGGGCAAAGGGATCTAGCCTGCTGACACCCAAGGATACCAGGTGCTTGTAGGGTGAGGAGATGCAAAGGTAAGTGGGTAGAGAAGACAGCATGCATGGTTGGGAGACTGGTTACATTGATCAAGTAAGTACAATGATTAGGGAAATACCTATGTTGGTGGCCTGGCAAAACAGCTATGGCACATCAGGCACTGAGCTAAGTGTGGTATATAACAGGAGTTTGCAAATTTTTTCTGTAAAGGGCCAGATGGTAAATATTTAAGGCTTTGTAGGTCACATGTCTCTGAAACATATTCTTCGTTTTTTAAAAACAACCCTTTAAAAATGTGAACACCAGTCTCAGCTGAAGGTCCTTAAGAAAACAGGCTGAAGGCCCAACTTGGCCCATAGGTTGTACTTTGCAACCACTGATGTAAAATAAAAAGATCAAAACAATTCAACCAATAAGGAAGGGGATTGTTTTATATGTATATAAACAAAGGTTATCAATACACATTAAATACATAGATACTTACCCTGAATATAATTAAAAAACCAAACCAAACCCACTGCCATGGACTTGATTCCTACTCATAGCAACTCTGCAGGACAGAGTAGAACTGCCCCATAGGGTTTCCAAGGCTGTAATTCTTTCTGGAAGCAGATTGCCACATCTTTCTTCCATGGAGTGGCCAGTAGGTTTGAGCTGCCTACCTTCTGGTTAGCAGCCGAGTACTTTAATCACTGCACCACTAGGACTCCTCTGAATGCAATTAGAGATAAGGAAAAAATTATGTCCAATTTACAAATAACACAAGAAAAATGACATTAAAAATAAAATTATGTAAGATTACATACTCTGGTGTGTACACTGGTAGCCAATAGACTAGTCTTCCACCTAATACAAGGGTCTCAGCAGCAAAGTTTAATAGGTCGAAAAACATATCACTCAGATGGTAGCTCAAGGAAACAGGAACATGGCTTTCTGGACTAAACAGAGAAAAGAGAAATTAAAAATCAGTAAAAAATGTTAAGACTGTTAACTAAAAAGTAGTAAAATGCTTCTCAAAGTAGCAACTCTTCATATTTAAATTTCAGACTTACCATTTTTCTATTCCCTTTGGTATTTCCTTCTGTGAACCTGTTCTTCTCGTAGATTCTCTGATACCGTACGGAGCTAGACAGAAAATGGGGTAATATGGATAGTCACAAGTCATCTAATCACCAAGGAAGGGCAGGAAGACATCTTGTGCCTCCAGATACGACATTTGAGGACACAACATCAACTAGGCAATATCAGAGCTAAGAATGAATAACATGAGGAACATTCTATTCTTTTTTTTTTTTTAAAGGGGTAACTATTGTCAATACCATAAAAGACAAAGACAAACTATGGAAGTGTTAAAAATTAAAGGAGGTCTAAAAGATATGATTACTAAATGCAATATCTGACCTCAGACTGGATCCTCTAATAGAGGGGAAAAATATGCTATAAAGGATATTAGTGAGTCACTTGACAAAATTGGATGACAGACTATAGATTAAAATATTGTACTGCTTTACTGAAACTGACAACTACACTTTGACTATCTAAGAGACTATCCCTATTTTTAGGAAATATACACTGAAGTTTAGGGGTGAAGGGTAACAATAGATGCAACTTACTCTCAAATTCTTAACTACTCAATTAAATTCCTTTCCTGTCCTACATTCACAATTTTTTCTTTCTCACTACGTGAAGAAGTTGAGAACGGGAGGAATACTAGTATGAGCTAGCATTTTTGTGTGTGTGTGTTGATTAATTTTGTAATTTATATGTAAATGACTTTAGGAAACTAATACTACTCCTACTTTTGTATAAAACTAAACTTACGATCAGTGATGATTGCATCAAAATATGTGCCCTTCCTCCAAGAAGGTTTAGATGCATCTGAAACCAAGACATCAAGGTAGTACTTCTCTAAACCATACTGACGAAGATTTGCCCTAATGTTTTCATCTGGTCCTCTCCATTTCTGGTTTTTTCTACTAGCCTTTCCTGGAGGAAAAGAAAAAGGAAGGTAGAAAATACTAGATTAAACACAACGTTCTTATTTCCTATTAATTAGCTAAAAGTAATAATTTAACTTATCCAAACCTACATTTACTCAAATAAAATTTGCTTTTATTTAAAGTTTTAATTTTATTTATGTAAATAAACAATTATTTTGATTATAAAAGTTATTATAAAAATATATTTTGCACAGTAAAATGTACTGATGTCTAACTGATGTGAGCCCATGTTGTTCTGTCACCTTCTGAGTAAAACTGCCTTAAAACACTTACTCAATACTTACTGAGTACCAATTATATTCTAGTAAGATACAAAGTTGAATAGGCGACTTGTGACTATCCGTATTACCTCCATTTTCCGTCTAGCTCTATATGGTATCAGAGAATCTACAAGACGAACAGGTTGACAGAAGGAAATACCAAAGGGAATAGAACAAGGGTAAGTCTGAAATTTAAATATGAAGAGTTTCTACTTTGAGACATTTGGGACATCTCTGACCTCCACCTCATAGCAAACAGTTTGTGCTGATCCTTACAAAAGAAATTATTCGTTTAAGAGGTCAGAGAAAATTGCAGGGGGCTTAAGGAGACTGAGATGGAACAGACAAAGAAATAAAAGAAGTGTCCAATGAGACCACCGACTAGGAAACCAAAGGGGGTTTTAGGAAGGTCAGCACTGCCAAATGCTGTAAACCTGCAGCCTCAGTAAGAGTTTTGAGCAGAATGATAGGCACGGAAGCTGCAAAATAAGGGGCAGAAGAGTGAGAGATGAAGAGGAGAACTGCAAGTAAATACTAGTGTTTTAAGTAGCAACAGGAAGAAGAACACAAAGTGGCCCTATAGGATTGATAGAAAAGGTGTTTGTATTTTTAGGAGAAACTTGAGAATTTTTTTTTTTAATAAGAATTGACTTTTTATTTATTATGGTGAAAATATATGTAACAAAACATACACAAGCTCAACAATTAAGAATTGACTCTTAATGCCTAATATTAGGCACAAACAGAAGTGATTTACCCCAAGAGGTAGTCTGTAAGGTATAGCGGACAAAACTTAAGGAAACCCAAGTCCATTCAGGGATTATGGAGGGTGGCATCATAGAGGCAAGGCTGGGGAGTGAGTGAAATCAAAAGAGGCTAGTGATGTGCCCTGCCTGTAGAAATACCATGTGAACACAGAGACTGAGGAATAGCACAAAAACAAGAAACGAGGACAAAGAGCAACAAGGTATGGATTGGTCCAAGTGCACAAGTCCTAGCTTCTGGGTTGTGGACCAACAGATGAGAGTTCCGTCACAGAAATCCACCCCCCATTAATGCCCCAGGAGTTCCTGTTTGGGCAGCTAGATGACTTGGTCTCTCTCTCTCTTTCTTCTCTGTCACATCTCTGTGAAGAGTTGATGGCTTCCATTTTTTAGATGCTTCTCACCATAACCTCCCATCCTCAGCCAATCTCTGCTGGCAGTCCATGTTATGTCACTCTAGAGGTACCACTCCAAAAGGATGGATCATGGCCAAGTACATACAACAAAATGGAGGAGTAAGGTAGAGGTATGACTAAGGTCTAGACTCAGCCTGACACTGGGATAAAATATATCAAAATATTAACAGGAGTTACCCTTGGGTGATGGGTTTATGGATGATTATGATGTTTTCTCTGTATATTCCAAATATTACTGTTATACTTAGGGTAAAAAATAACAAAGTTTAAAAGCACTACAAGCAAAAAATAATAAAAGAAAATTCCAGGAAGCAGTTTAAAAGGGGGTTGGTGTTTGGTGGTAGAAGAGGAAAAATCCTATAATCACAAAGTAGGTGAGTGGAGCCAAGAAGTAAGGTATTTCCGTAGAAATTCAGGCCTAAGTGCAAAATCAAATATCAACAGAGTGCAGGCTCTAGCCAGTGTACTTTGGTTGGGGGCACAGCCCTAATTCATGGAAGGATAAATGAAAGAGACAAGGCAAGACTCCAGTTCTAATTAGACATGGGGATACAAAGTAGATGTCCTGAATAGGAAACAGAAAAATATACTGAGATAAAATAGTAGTAATGAGAACTAAGAAATTCAGGAGACAGGAAGAAGAGACTAGGGTTCCAAAAGGGGGTGCAAGGTTCTGGTAAGATGAGTAGTAAGTGATGGAAGAGGTGTAGTTTGCCTCAGGTATTTTAGCTATTTCTGTGTAAAAAAGAACCACAAAATATCAGTGGCGTAGAAAATAAGTCTTTAATTCACATATATGTGGATCAACTGAAGGTCAACTGATTTGACTGGGCTCAGCTAGGTGACTCTGCCAGTCTTGGTAAGCTTCCTCATGTGCTGCAATTCAGCTTTGGATTGACTGATATAAACTCAGTTCAGCTGGGATGTTAGACTGGTGTTGCCTTGAGAATATTTTAGAGCACAGGAGAGGTTCGAAGCATAGGGAACGGAGGACCTACCTGACAGCATCTTGGCTAAGCTCTGAGGAAAATTTACCTCAAACAGAATTCTACCCAAGTACACTGAAAAGTTAGGACATAACTTTCAAACACTTTAGTAAATAGAAATTTAAATAAATTATATAGGACAATTTACTTAAAGCAAACGTATTGCCTCTACTAAAAGCCAATTGGAATAACTCTTAGCACTTTATCTACTCTAACATACTGCAGACAAAGAATATCCTTTTCTGGTTAGCTCATTTATGTAAACTTGATAAGTATAACTCATTTTCCACATGATAAATATTACTAAATTCCTTACAGTCAAGAAAGGAAAAAAGACAGGTCGTTAAGTACAATATATCAAATTGCTCTGACGAAAGAAAATAAACTATAATAAATTCTTAACTATGCAATAATTTATATTGGGTGAGAGGAAAAGAGAAGTGTTTTAAGGGATGATTCAAGTTACAATAATGAAATGTCAGCAGAAATACAGTTTCAAATTTATCAAGAAAAATAGCCATTTTTAATAGTGTTCAGCTATAAGGAAATGCTTTCTCAGTTTAATTCAACTCCATTCCATCACATATCATTAGAGAAGCTTCTAAAATTGAAAATATTTTCCAAAATTGCCTCAAAAGCAAAGCAGATCCTTATCTCAAATTACGCTCAATCTAAGGCAGAATCTTTAAAGTTACTGCCACCAGAAGTATTTTAAAGATATGTTGGTCAGTTATGAAATTTAAAATGTATATGGTACTTGAAGGACTCAAAATTAATCCAGTATATGCACAATGTATAATTACTGAATAAATGAATGGTGATAATCTTTAAACATAAACTGTGTACTGTTTATTAACATGTACATCCTGATTACAAAATGGCTAGTACCTATCTCCTACTTCTCTCTGAACCCTGAAGTCCACAACCTTAAATATAGTTTGTCCACATTTTTATCTCTCTTACTAAGACTGCAAATACCTCTGAGGGGGAGGGCTTTGCTTTACTCATCTTTGTGTTCCCCCAGGAGATCACTTTGCACACACTGGATCCCTTCATAAAAAGCAGATACCCAATGAAGTCTTAATGTTGCAAAAACAAACACAATTATATTACATCACAACTTTGTATTTTAATACTAAAAATAGATGTACAATACCATATAAAACTATTTTATTATTTTAAAGCTCATTTGGTACAACAGTGAAGACTGTAATATTGTCTGGAATTTGTACTCACCCAAGCCATGAATTGTGTTGTAGTCTATGTCTGTCCCATATACATATGCACCAAAATGAGCAGATGCTATCAGCAAGCCACCTGAAAGATCACACAAGTATGATTCGATAACCAGAAAATCTCAAACTCTTATTTTTTCCGTATTTAATCTGATCCAGAATCTTAAAAACTAGCTGCAGGCAGCATACCCTGGAATGATGCTGGTCCTGGTCACATTTAGCAGGCCTCAAAACTGAAGAGACAAACACCTAAGCTATGATCACTGAAATGATCAAAAAGCAGGGAATTAATGTATAACCTGGCATGAATACTTTAAAAAACATTATCTTTTTTGGTCAAAATAACATAAATTTATACATTTTCATTTTCATTTGAGAGGTCAATACAAAAGCACCTTGCTCCTTTCTTATATACGAGCACATAAGGCTGCTATACAAACAACTGGCAATAAACAAACCAACAATTGGGCTCAGCTGAACTCGAAGGGTTTCAAACATTTACAGAGGGCATAATTAATATGCGAGGCATTAATTTTTACAAAAATTAAAACATTAGAACAAGATATAGTTACTCCTGCAATCAGTCAAGTAACTGCCCCTCCTTTTATAATGGTAGATATAAATTTCAGAATAACTATGATCAAACATAGGCAAAAATAAGTAATACAAATACTTTTCTGTTTTATTTAGTTCTGTGACCAAAGAATAATGTCCCAATACAATTTGATCAGATTAAGGTATTTGGCAGGTGTGATCACTCACATATGAAGAAAAGCCCTAATAAACATTTTTTAAAAAAATGAAATTCTTTCAAATGTGATAGTATTTTTTAATTTTTAAGAAAAATTATTCATAAATTAAATTTTTATTT